CCGCGGCGGCGGGGGAAGGGGGGAACCCCAGCCCCACCGACCCCGGGACCGGAGTGGGAGGGGGACACGCGTGGGCCCGGGCTCCCCCCCGTCGTCGTCGGCCTCCCCTGCTGGGTTTAGGGCAGTGGGACGTGGACACGTCCGATCTGCAGTCCCTTCCGTGCAGCCGCCCGCCCCGGAAAGCTCCCCACCCCGAGCCCGGACATGGCCTAGAAGGTGTGGGCGATCGCGCTGGAGGGAGCCCAAGGCGGCGGGGCAAAAGCCAAACTTTCCTTGGCCCCGGATCAGTTTCGCGGTGGGACACGGATCTTCGCTCACAAGCATTTATTTATTCAGCAACTATTACGTGCTGGTCGGCAGTGAGCAGCGGCCGGACGTGGGACTCGGGATGGGACAAAGAGGGAACCGCACCGCCTGGGCCTGGACACTCAACCTTCAGTGTAACTTGCCCCCCCTCCCCCCCCAGTCTCCGAAAGAACCTCCCGTCCCCCATTCATATTCTTTTGGGTTTCTATGCCCAGTCCTTCAAAATGCCAACACCCAAGGAAGGAAGGAAGGAAGGAAGGCCTTGAAGTCCAGCCATTCACCCCTTAGTGTGAATTTGTGAATTCGATTTATCCTGCCTGCTAATGCATAATGCCATCCCACCCTGAGCTGGACTTAGCCTTGGGCTTTGCAGAGGATTTGGAGCAATCTCTTCCTCTTCTCTGGGACTCCTCAACTCTGAGAGATGTCGCAGCTCAGATTCACAGCTGTGTGGATCTGGTGCCTAGAGATTGGGGGGAGGGGGGCGGGGGAGAGAGGGACGCTCTTTGATCCCCAAGACTGGTCCAGCTGTGGTCCAGGCATTTGTTATCAGTCTCCAAGGTGGGGGAGGATGATCCTAGACTGAGAGCCCAGGCTCAGGCTTGGACAAGCTTCACCAAGGGGACTGGCCCTGCCTTCTCTTCTGGAATGGATATGAGAAGGGGAAAAGGAGATGTGTTTGGACAGGAAGCAGTCTTTGCAGGGAGCCCCTGGAGTTAGGGAAAGAGGCAACCAAGCTGAAATCGCTCCCTTTGCCCAGGCCTCTGGAAGCTAGACTTGTTATTGTTAGCATGGGACTTGAACTCAGAGCCTGGGCTCTGTCCCTGAGCTCTTTTGCTCAAGACTAGCCCTCTACCACGTTGAGCCACAGCACCACTTCTGGTTTTCTGGTGATTGGTTAGAGATAAAAGTTTCACAGACTTTATTGCCTGGGCTGGCTTTAAACCATGATCCCCTGATCTCAGCCTCCTTAGCAGCTAGGATTTACAGACCAGAGCCAAGGGTGCCCAGCTTGGAAGCTGGACTTTGAGCTTAGTAAAAGACACATACACACCTTGTTTTTTCTTTTTTTTGTGGCAGTCCTAGGGCTTGAACCCAGGGCCTAGGCACTGTCCCCGAATTTTCTGCTCAAGGCTAGAGCTTTACCACTTGAGTCACACCTCTACTTCTCACTCTTTTAATAATAGTTAATAAAAAATAAAGTTAATTGGAGATTGAGTCTCCTGGACTTCCTGCCCTGATTAGCTATGAAAGGCTATCCTCAGAGCTCAGCCTCCTGAGTAGGATTATAGGCTTGAGCCACTGACCACCCAGCCAACACGCCTTAACTTGCACTGTGCATGAGACAGCCTTGTGGGGTATGGGAGTGCAGTCCTGGGCCTTGAACTCAGGTCTAGGTGCTGGTCCCTGAGATTTTTGTTCAAAGCTAGCCCTCTACTAATTGAGCCACACCCCACTCTGGCTTTTTGCTAGTTGAGTCTCAGGTCTTTTTTTTTTTTTTTT